GCAAGAAATTGAAGATTTCAAAATAAAGCCAACTTGCAATGAAGAGTCGAACAAATTATGGTTATTGATAAACCGATCAAGTAAGAAATTGATTTCAGAAAAAATGATTTTGAGCAAGTGGATTTGGATAATATTTTTGATATACCCAATATTGAATTTTCCTTCCAAATGAGTTCAATAATGATGCTAATGAAACTAAGTTTTTCTTGCCATTATTGCTTTTTATTTTATAGGTCTTGATCATACGATTATCACTTTTGATTCTCTATTATTTTAAAGAGTAGAGGAATAGTTTTTTCTAATTTTATGAAAGTGATTTTTCTTATAAAACTAAAGTCAAAGAGCTATATATGGGATCCCCAACACCTAAAAATGGAGGATCTAAATCAATGGGCAAGGTGACGTCAAGCCAATAACATTAAACAAAAGCGCTTATTGCAAGGCAACCAAATACATTTCTTTTAAATCTTACAATTTTGATTGTTTCAATTCATGTTTAAATTAGTTTTTATATAATTTTTCTTTAGATTTCTCTTATGCTTGACTTAATTTAGAGAGTCTTCCATCATAGATGCTCTTTAGTGTTGAAGGAGGGGAAAAAAACACACATAGCAGAAAGGTAATTTAGAGAGTCTTGCATCATAGATGCTCTTTGGTGTTGAAGGAGGGGAAAAAAAAACACATAGCAGAAAGGGAGAACATGGTTTGTGCATGTCAACAAGTACACCCCTGTATGTGTTATGGTTACAAGTTCAAAGAAACAAAAGATATGAGACACAAGCAGTGGGATTTTGCATAGTTTGCAAGTGGAAATCCATATGTCCATGTGGGTGATTAGCTCGTATAATGGCAAGAAAGAAAGAAAAGAGACACGAGCAAGTAGTATCCGACATGGTTTGTGCAATAACTTGCACACGACTATATGTCTTAAGCTTCTTTTCCATTTGCAACCTCCACCTCTCTCCGGATTATTACATACCAGATTTGCTCTCTTACCCTTTCTCTTTAAATTTCACATGCTTATGCTTAGTCTTATTTGAACATTGAGGACAATGTCTAATTTAAGTGCAAGATTGCATTTAGCATTTAAGTTTTTTTTTGTTTTATGTAATTATGTGTTTGTTTTACCCCTTATAAAAATAAATAAATAAAACAAATGCCATGATTTAGTATGATGTTCTTCTTGATTGATGTTTTGATGATGAGTCCGATGAAATTTGATGAGATGAATGAAAATATTTAGGATATTTTTGTTATAGATATGCATCCATGCTAGAAAGTTTTATGTCTTTATGATTGAACATAATTTAGGTAGTAAAACTAACTTTAAAAGAAAAGAAAACCCTTTTGGAAACTAGACCTAATCACATTTTAAATAAATGGGATTTTCTAAATTTTATAGAAATTTGAGAAAGAAATCGAAAAGCATTCCATTAGAAAATTTGGCCTAAGTAAGCAAAAAATTCAACTATAATGATTTGAGTTAGTTAGTGACTAGGAGTATTCATCATAAATTTTTACCTTTATGCCAAATGGTAATTCAAATTATGAGTATATAAAGCACTCTATGTTGATGACTTGTTAAGTAACCGGTTGCATTCATTATAAATGTCAATAGTCACGTAAAAAGGCAAGTGATCATTGAGGAAAAAAGCTATTAAATGCCTTGAAAAAAATTAGGATGCTTAAAATGGAATTTTTTTATTAAAGAAAATCTTGATTTATTGCTTTGCTTGTAGTTGTAGAAAATGGGTAAAAGTAATGTTGGTGTTATATGCCTGGATTATGTTTGGTTATGAAGATGCACAAATTAATTTAGAGACATACATTGAAATGATAATAATATCTTGAACATGATTGAATTGACTATTGAATTTTATTGAATTTTGAACCGAGCATCAATGTTTGAAGAATAATCATACTAGCATGACATTTGTTTGAATAATTTTATGGGTTTATCATCTAAAAACCCTCGAGAGACACAACTCATCCACTAGGGTAACCTAAGGTTTAAAGACTTGTTGTATATGCTAAATGTAATCATGATTCTTACAAAAGTGAGTTAGATTTTATTTTGTTTTTTTTGCTCGAAGACTAGCAAAGATTAAGTATTAGGGTGTTTGATGACTCGGATAATTAGTAAGATTTTTATACTCGTTACATTAAACTTGCTAGTGCTTGTTTTGTTGTATTAGGTTAATTAAGAATAAGATGACGGTTTTAGGTTTTATAGGAAAAACAATGAATCAAAACAAGAAAACCCAAAAATCAAGTAAGAAAGAGAGAAGTCACCAAAAAGGCTTAGAAGAGTCATATGGCCATGTCGATTACAAAGGAAAAAGCTACCGGCCGTGTGACATCAAGGAAAAACCATACGGATTGCTCAACAAAGAAGTCTAGATGGGCAGTAGAATTCCACATAGCTAAAGGAAGAAATCCCACACAATCATGTGTGTGTCACAACCTAGCACAATCTAAGAGAAAAGAAGACCACACGGGTAGTAGGCATTGCATACAATTTGTATGAAAAAGTCACATGCCCATATCTTATAAAGCAAAATAAGTCTAAATGAGGAGAAGAGATTCAACACAACTTGAAAGTAAAAGTCTACAAGGCAGTAAGGAAGTAACATGGAATGAAGAATAAAGACACATGATTGTATGCCTCTTGTGAGCAAACCGTGTAATGCTAATTCATCAAGGCTCCAAACCGTGTAACATTAAGTAATAAACTATATAACTTTATTAGTAACCCGTGTGGCCATGTGGGGCTCACACCTATGTGATGTAACCTTATTTTTAGCTATAAATAGTGATGCTAGTACATTATTTCAAGATTCCAACTATGAGTAGCCACCATTGATAGAAAATTCTCTCTTTATAACCCATTATGAGCAACTAAACTCTATTTTTTGTTGAATCAAGTTAAAGCTTTTGATTAAATCACTATGAGATTATGGTTTTATTTCTAAACTTATCTTGTTTGAGCATTTTATGTTTTTCTAGATAATTGGTTTCTACTTATATGATTAAATTGATTTAAGTGCATGCTAGTTTTTTGATTATCTTAACCTATCGCTAGCTAAGTATTCAAGTCTATGTAATTGCTTGTCTAAACTTATCTAAGATAGTAACTAGGGGTTGATAATTACTTTTTACGTTTTCCTTCAATCCCTTAGAAAACATATAACTAGGTTACATCTTCTCTAGAGCTTATAGATTTAGGTTACATCTTTTCTAGCACTTAGAAAGGTGGCTTAGCTTCACCTATCTTTCTCCGATTAATGTCGTTATTGAATTAAATCTATTTATTAATTAGAAGGTTATTCAAGTAGCTAGGAAATTAATCAAGTATCGTGTATTTGGTTAACCATTAAGTAAGAAAAGACTAGGGACAACATATATGTTGTTGTCTTACGATGAATATTCATGTTTAGGATAAGTTAATTATTTAATCGATAATCAGCAACTAAATCAAAAGTGGATATTGAAGTTCAACCATGGTTCTCTTAATATTATTATTTCAATTTACTTATTTGTTTTCAAGCATTTCAAACACAAAAACTCCTTTTTTACATTACAAGAACACTCTATCAAAAGAAATGATCAATTTAGCCTCTTTCCTTATGGGTTCGACCCTCACATGTCCTCATTACATTATCGTGATTGAAAGCTCTATAAGGAAAAAATATAAATCATTAATTTGTTTGCGGTATGACACGCCATTAGACCATCATGTATTCGATGAAAATGATGATATGTCATGACATGTATCCCCTTCATCACAATGTATTTTTTTAATTCCTTTTATGTTTTTTTTTCCTTACAAAAATATTAATAAACTTTAATATAATTTGGTGTTTGAATATATATTTTATTTTATGAAATTTTATATATTATAAAAATTTTGTGCTATTTATAAATCTATTTTGTATCATTTTGTAGTTGTTAAATTAGATTGGATTTTATGTTTTTTATTATTGACATATGAACGATGAAATAGTTAATTGAAAATATATAAACTAAAAAAATTAAGAAAATTAAATTAAAAAAAATTAGAATCGGTTTAATAACCATCACTAATTATGAGGCAAAATTTGGTCATATTTAGCAATAGTTTATAAAAACTATTGTCAAACCGTCGCTAAATTCGTTAAATAGCAACAGATTTGGCGATAGTACTATTAAACAGTAGCTAAATCCACAACTTTTTAAACACTATTAAGTGACGGTTTGATAGATGTTTAGCGACTGATTAACCATTGCTCAATTCATGATGGCTTACAATAAACAGTCATAAAATATTTGGCGAGAAGGCTTTTTCTGACAGATTAAAACCGTTACTAATTATTATTAAAGAGGTTTTATATTTTTTAGCGATAGTTTAAACCATGGCTAAATTTGATTTTTCTAGTAGTGAAATAAAGGAAGCTATTGTCCTAACTTGGCATGGAAACATTGAATACGAAATCATCTTGAGCTAACCAAATTGACCAAAACAGTCCACATAAAACAAAGCATCAAATTTTCTTTTGCACGCCACCATTACTTAAAAAAGATCAATGCAGAAACATTTCATCCACAGTACTTGAAATCACTCAACACAGCCCCCATCTAACGACTAGAGACCACAATTTTCATTGTTCAATGCAATGCAACAACGATCTTTTCTGTGTTTTCCATCTTGGTTCTACTGTGTTCTCTTGGTCATCAAAGAAACAAGTAGTTGTATTTTTTAACTGCCGAGGCTACCGACGCACAATAAATTGCAGCTGAAAGTTGCGTTACTCAAGCTGTGTAGTTGAGAAGAAAGCTTGGTGAGTTACAACATTGTCAAAACAAGTCAACAAAGATTTTTTTGTGACAAGAAATCTACTATATATTGCGTTAACAAAAAAGTCAGTATTTCTTGATTGCATCAAACATAAATATTAACTACCATTACATTCATGATTTAGTGAATAATCAAGAAATTATGGTTTGAGTTTTTTTCATCCAAGAACCATGCAAGTTGTTGATATCTTCACAAAGCCACTTAAAGCTGATTTGTTCTTGAAGTTTAAAAAGACGATGGACATAAATAAATTTGAAGAACTTGGTTTAAGAAAGGGTGTTTGTAATTAAACCAAGTTTGCCTAGAATTAGAATTGGTATTCTAAGTTGAGTCAGGATCCTAATCTATGAGTACAAGATCGGCTGGAAACATATATAAAAATACGTTGCTACCTAAATAACAGAGGTAAGAAAGACAATAATAATTAAAAAAAAAAACATGAGTTCTTCTGTGTGCGCGCAGGTTTTGTCTTATGTGTATTAAAAAAGATTTGAGTTACAACCTGGATATTTCACTGGCTTGTCAAAACCATTATTGCTCTGTAGTCTGTAGTTCATCCGGAAGACTAGGTTTGTTTGTTTGTTTTTGGTTTTTTTTTTTTTTTTTTTTTTCGTTTTTTTGGGGGTTCTATCCAAAAGCTTAAATATTTTGTGATGAGTAATATGAGATAGGTTTTTTTTTTTAACCACCATTAATGCATTTACTCTTTTAATTCCTACTGCTAACATTTGATAAAACATATGGAATTATTGGGTAACTGCCCTTTAGTTCTGTTTGCCACCCAACTAATCACTACAAAAATTAGAAGGAAGACCATGGAAGCTACATAATGAATTCAACTGTATTGCAAATTTAATTTCGTGAAGCACGTACGTGGTGTGAAACAACTACCATGACATCTTATAAAAACAGTCCCCGTGAATGTAACATGGCTTGATGAGAAAAGCTTACCACGGGATCCACATGCATGCCATGAGCCATTATAAATAGAGAGTAGATGCAACCCTAAAAATCATCTACACTCTTTGCTCTCTTCCTCATCTGCAAATTTATAAGCTTTCTCACAGGTTCATGTCTTAATCATTGCTAGTGTTTTCCCCTTATTTGGCATCTTTCATTTCCATCGATGTTTCAATAATTAATCCAAGGCCGTCACACGCACACAGTTGGGTTTTTCGTTCTTCCCGCTATCATTTATTGGATTTGGGTTTATTTGTTTCCTTACCTGGGCCCACAATTTAAGACAAATCCAACAATTCTGTTATCTTTTATTTAAAAATATGAAATCATTACAAGGTAATGGTGGTTTTCAGTTATTAAGTTTCAAATTTAAAAAGTTTTCACTGAGTGTTTGGGAGGAGGTTAAAGCAGGTTGAATTTTATCCCTATTGGCAAGCCAAGAAGCTCTCCTCAAGCAAATGGAAAAGTTTTCTATAAAAAATAATAGCGAGGAGGCGTTTTTTGGAAATAAAAGAAAAAGCCAAAAAAATAGAAATAGTAACGATAGTCCGAGTTATAGTGAAGAAGAAAAGCTACGAGGATAGCGAAAGAAATACCAAATAGAGGGAGCTTAGCATGGTCGTGATATAGCGCGATGAAATAACGAATGCTTTGTCCGTGGGAAACGAGCCATTTCGCTCGAGGTTGTTGGCATATGAAAAAAAAAAATCGAAGGAAATGTGGTGACATCAAAAAATCACCACGAGACGAAAGACAATGAAGAAGATTGTTAAGTTTTGAAGCGTAACAAAATTTGAGAGAGAGTAAAAATTCTCACACCTCTACTCGCTCGCATTTCATCTTTATATAACGGTAACAAGGGACATTTGAAATTGACTAACTAATGGTGGTGAAATTCCCTAACTAACCTTGGCAATTTAAACAGATTAACACACATGGAAAACACATGTGGGACACTCATAACAATATCAACTAAGTATGCTTTGATACCCCTCATGCGCGCAAGCTAGAGCTGGTGCATAAAGATCTAAAATGCCCAGACTTGGAAATTTGTAGAGTGAAGTTTGCAAGTGCCAACGGCTTGGTGAAACAATCAGCCGCTTGATTAGCCGAACCTATAGCAAGGAGATGGACGATCCCTCGTAGAAGCTTCTCCCTCACAATATGGCAAGTATATTTCTATGTGCTTTGTTCTTTCATGAAAAACGTGGTTTTTGGCGATATGAATTGCGGATTGGTTGTCGTAGAAAATCAATGTCGGGTGAGTATGAGGAAGATGAAGGTCTTTTAGCAGGTATATCAACCATTGCATTTCACAAGTAACTCGCTGCAAGTGCTCCGTATTCGGCTTCGCAGGAAGACCTTGAAATAGTCGACTGCTTTTTTGATTTCCAAGAGATGAGCGATGAACCCGTAAACACGTAAAAGCCAATGACGTAACACCTACTATCCACACAAGTAGCCTAATCAAAGTCGAGAAGCCCTTAAGTTGAAGCTAATTGTTTGAAGTAAAAAATAGACCTTGACCAGGAGCACCTTTGATGTATCGAAGTACCCTATGTGCCGTTGTAAGGTAAGCTTGGGTTGGTCCGTCCGAAACCGACTTAATTGTTGCACCGCATAGGAGAGGTCGAGTCTAGTGTTTGTGAGATAGAGTAAGCGACCAACCAACTTTCCGTAAACGAAGTATCGTGAAGAAGAGTGCTATCTTCAGCACTTAACTTGACAAGTAGCTAACATAGGTGATTTTGTAGGTTTGGCAATAATAAAGCCTACATCTTGCAATAATTCTAGCGCATATTTCCTTTGACATAAACCGATCCCATGAGAAGATCATACAACCTCAAGGCCTAAGAAGAACTTCAACTCACCCAAATCCTTGATTATGAATTTCTCATGTAAAAAGGCCTTTATCGCTCCTATTTCTTCCATATCATTGTTGGCTAAAATAACATCATCAACATAGATGAGTAAAGCAATGAAGAAAGAAGATGTGGATTTGACAAAGAGAGAAGGATCGAGGCAACTCGAACAAAATGTTGGGCAAGAAGAGTAGTAGATAACTTCGCATACCATTGCCGATCGGCCTCGCTTGAGGCCATAAAGAGACTTTAACAACTCGCGTACTTGGTTTGGTTTTGGACTCGAAAACCCAAAGGCAAATCCATATACACTTCTTCTTCTAAGTCTCCATGAAGAAATGTATTATTAATATCCAATTGGTGCAAGTGCCAATTGTTAATAGCTGCAATTGCTAACAAAGTTCGATTATAGTCATCTTGTCTACTCGGAGAAAAAGTGTCTAGGTAATCCACACTTGCTTGTCGTGTGTATCCCTTAGCAACCGGACGAGCTTTGTACCTTTCTAGGGACCCATCAGCCTTATACTTGATCTTATACACCCATTTACATCCTATACTTTGTTTACCAAGCAAGTGATTAGTGAGTTCCCAAGTATGATTGGCTTGCGAGCCTTGATTTCTTCATTCATAGCTGTTTTCCAACAATTAAACTTAACTCGCTTGATGGTAAGTACTAGGCTCAATGGCAAGTGGAGATACCGACACTAAAGAGTTTATGAGGTAATGAACATTTAGAATAGGATAACACCGAAGATAAAAAGTGAGGAGTAGAACTCGTGGGGGGAAAGAAGCACAACTTGCGTAAGGCAAAGCTTGAGTCGATTGATTGTGTAATGCACAATGATAATCTTGAAGATATGTAGAAGGAGTTTTAGATCGTGTGGATCATCCGGAAGGAGCGGGAAATGATTCTGAAAAAGCATTATTTGAAGGAGGAAATGATTCTGAAAAAGCATTATTTGAAGGAGGGATGGAAATAGGTGAGGTGGGTGAATTGGTCGAGGGTATGGCAGGTGTTTGTCAAAGGAAATGCAAGGAGATTGTCCGTACAAGTCTCCGGAAGGGTGTTTGGAAGCATAAAATTAGGAGAGGATGTAGAATGTTGAGACAAACGAGCAAAAGGAAAGATGTGCTCATAGAAAATGACATCTCTGGACTAATCGTGATACTGCTATTATGTAGATTATAAAGTTTATAGCCTTTTGTGTCGCTGGGAAAACCCAAGAAAATGCATTTGGAAGCTCTTGAATCAAACTTAGCCTTCGAGGCAAGATTAGATGCATAACAGAGACAACCAAAGACCTTAAGATTGTTATAAGTGGGAATTTTCCAAACAAAAGCTCAAAAGGTGTTTTATCATTCAATACGAGTGTAGGAATTTTATTGATTAAGTGAACGACATGAAGAATGCAATATGCCCAAAAAACAAGTGAAAGATTGGCCTAAAACCTTAGAGCCCTAGCAACTCGTTAGTATGTGTTGATGTTTTCTCTCAACAATACTCGTTTTGTTGGGGTGTTTTGACACAGGAGGTTTGATGGAGAATGCCTTTCGAAGCAAAGAAAGAAGGCATATTGAATTCTTGGCCATTATCTCGTTCGAAGGTCGAATCTTGGTAGAAAACCGAGTTTCAACAAGAGTACAATAATTCTCAATGAGCTTTCTTGTGTCGATTTGTGTTTCATCAAAAAAACCTAGGTAGCTCGACTATAATCATCAAAAATAGTAAGGAAGTATTGATAATTGGAAAAAGAAGGATTTGCCATGAGGTCCCAAATATCCGCATGAACAAGTTCAAAACACTTTGTAGAAACAGAGGAACTAATGGGAAAGGGAGGACGTTTTTGCTTTGCATAATGGCAAATATCACATCGGGGATTAGAGATCTCAGCAGGTACATCTTTACGGAGAGAATGTAAAGCAAGTAATCTGGAATTTGAAGGATGACCTAGTCTATAATGCCATACATCAAAAGAATCATGAACAATTGTATTTGAAGCAAAAGTATGATAAGCATTTAAGTGGAGTTGAGTTATCAACCGATACAAGCTTTGTTTCGCTCACTCGTACTAATCATCCTCTTCGATTGATGGTCCCGTATAACACAAGAATCGAATGAAAGAACAAGGAGCATCCGGAGTTTTTGGTTAGCCGACTCACCGAAATAAGATTGAAGGAAAAACTAGGAACAAAAAAGGCATTATGCAAGATAAGAGCATCGACATATCGAACTAATCCAACATGTGTAATCGCTGCTTGTTGGCCATTAGGTAACTTGACAGAGATATCGAAACTCGGATTGTATTCATAAAAAAATTCTAAGGAGTAAACAATGTGGTCTCGTGGCACCAGTATCTAATATCCATAGAGTTGGATTAGAAATCATAGAACCACAAAAGGAATTATAAGTACTCGTCATGGAAGTGAAGTTGCTAGACAAGGCATTGACATTAGTAGACACAACGAGGCTATGATTGGGGTTGAATTAAGGCTAGAAGTTTGGAGTATTGGTCTGCAGTGAAAGAAGCTTGCACACCACCGAGAACGTGACTAGAATCACCGAAACGAGTAAGTTGATTGCTAGGAAACACACTACTAAAAGAATTACCAGCTTCATGTAGGCCTTCGATACCACGGATCTCAACCTAATTGGAAAAGCCATTAAAACCACCACGATTTTTATCAAACAATTTGTAGCTCGGAGGAAATCCATGCTTCGATAGCACCTATCCACGGTATGTCCTAGAAGACCACAAAACACACACTCGAAGCTTTGACTTTCCATTATAAACCGGCTTCATCCGACTCGTGAAAGCACCTCTTCCATAAGCAAGGACTCTGCTAGAAGAGGAGGGGGAAAAACTTATGCAACCTTGTTGAGAATGATTATGCTAAGACACATAACTATTAAAGAAGACAACACTAGAATTGTTGTTGCTATTTAAACTTGATAATCCTATGTTTAGTCGGCGTTCATGCTGAATAACCATGCCAAAAACTTTGTTAATGGACGGAAGAGGATCCATCACAAGATTTGAGATTGTACGAGTTGCAAAATTATCATTTAAACCCTTCAAAAAATGAATCACATAATCACAGTTCGAAAATTTTTGATTCTTTGAAAGGCTTCACAACAAGCATTGAGGATCACATGTGCATTAAGGTATAGTTCTTAGATTTGAAAACTCATCCCATAGTATTTTCAAGTGAGTGAAATACCGAGTAACAAAGAGAACACCTTGATTATAGGAATAAATCTCCTCTTGAAGCTCGCAATTCGAAGTAATCAGCATGGAAGAATCGATCACGTAGATCCGACCACACTTTTAAAGCACTATCTAGCCAAATGACACTTTCGGCGATATCGGGAGAGAGATCGAATAAGCCAAGAAAGCACCATCGTATTGCATCTCTCCCAAGCCAAATATAAAGCATCGGACTTATCCGGAACTTTGATAGTTCTATCAACAAACCGTAGTTTGTTCTTAGACGAAGTGCCATCCTCATAGAGTGATACCGGGAACGATAGTTAGAATCGAGTGAGTGTAGGAGAAACTAAAACAAGAGAAGGATTCTCACTAGCATGAAGAAAATAACGACCGGACATCTATTCCTCGAGTCTTAAACTTGTGAAACTCACGTACAGATTAACGGAGGATGCAGTCATTCTAACTTTAGAGAGATGAAAGAAAATTTAGTTGTTTGGTTCCTCGTAAAACTTAAGAAAGGAACCTTCTAGAAGTTTGATGCGAGCTCGATACCATGTTAAGTTTTGAAGCGTAACAAAATTTAAGAGAGGAGTAAAAATTCTCACGCCTCTACTCTACTACATTTCATCTTTATATATCGATAACAAGGGACATTTGAAACTAACTAACTAATCATGGTGAAATTCCCTAACTAACCTTAGCAATTTAAACAAATTAACACATATGGAAAACACACGTGGGACACTCATAACAATATCAACTAATTATGTTTTGATAAAGATTGGGACTTTCAAGCATCCATCATTGTGATGACTCCAACAAATATGAAAAAAGAAGAATTTGATTTTGATGATCGAGGTGGTGCAAAAGAGAAAAATGAGGAAGCACTTGTAGCAACAGGATTGCAAGTTGTCGACTACAATAACGATTGGATTATAGAATCTAGTTTTTCCAATCATATGATAGGTGATAATGACAAATTGTAGTCATCCTCATTCGAGTATGAAGGAGGAAAAATTGTAAAGACGATCGATAACTCAAAATTACCGATTACTCATGTTGGCAAATCGTTAAGACAATCTATATTTGCTAAGGACTCGCCACTAAGCATGTCTCCACCGGTGCCACGACTTCCAAGTGAAAGTGCACCGGTGTCTATTGATTCCATGCCTTCCACTCGCAGGAGACTCCCGGCGTGATCTCCACCGGTTCCACAGCCTTCCACCGCAGCGAGACTCCTTTTCACCTACGGGCGTGTTCTCGCTAGGAATATTAGACAAGAAGTGTGAATAAATAGGAACTCTTGTATAGTTGTAATCTTATCTCTTGTAAACATATATAAGCATTACGCAAATATATAATAATATACCGAGTAGGGAAATTCCTTTCTAACTCTATCGACCCTCTCTCTCTCACACATTTTAAGTTGGCATGAGAGCCTTTCTTAGCATTACCGCCATTCAGGTGTTTCTTCCCCACAAAATGACACAAACAATGGCTTCATCCAAGCACCACATCCACCCCAAATTCTACTAGCTCGGACCGGATAGCGAACCACCACCCAAACGTGACCTAGCTCACAAACTCCCATCACTTCATCTCCTTCATACTCACCCAAACAAACTACCTCCTCCGACGTGTTCAAATGAAACCCTTCCTCTTAGGCTAAGGCCTATTCTCGTTTTATTGATGGAAGTAGCCCATGTCCCCCAAGCCATGTTGTTGCTACTCGGTTTAGAAGTACCTCTAATCAACCATGCCAATTAAGCATGGATCCAACAAGATCAACTACTCATGAGCAAACTTATTGCCTCCCTTTCAATCGAGGTCCTCCCCATAATTATAGATCGCTCAACATCTAGATAATCTGGACCATTCTAGAAAGTGCTTTGGCTTCTCCTTCTAGCATAAGAATTATGACACCGCATCTTACTCTACAAAGGCTTCGCTAGGAACCAAATGAATGAGTATCTCCCTTTCGCAACGTGCAAAAACCCTTACCGATGAACTTGCTACAGCAGGTAGACCATTCTCAACTCGTCAACTTCAACCTATATGTGTTCAAGGGACTATCTTCGGAGTTCAAGGATATAGTAACCACCTTATCCACAAGAGCCGATCCGGTAACGCATACTAACCTTCACAACTTTTTACTAAGCCATGAATTTTTAAACCGTAAAAATCACCATGATATATCACCCGCAAGTTCACCCTCACACACAACTACCTTGCTCCAAACCTCCCCTACCGCCCACCTAATCACGAGAGCCCCAACAATCTCAATGAACAGTCGGAAGTTACAACTCGCGAAGAGGGCAAATTCTTTAGGGGTCGTGGGCATGGTAGAGTTGGCCGTTTTGGTGGTAGCTCCCGGTAGTATAATGTTCAACGCCAAAAGTGCCAAATATGCAACTCTTGGCAAGCATACAACACTCCACCGTCCATAATGCCGGTATTAACCCACTCGACCCTATCGCCCACCTCTCGACAAGTGTGGCCAACCATGGTGCCTAGACACGGGGGCAACACACGATGTCACATCGGATCTTATTAGCCTTACCACCTTTGAACCTTACCACATTCCCGACTAGCTTCAAGTAGGCAATGGTGAGTTCTTGCCTATACATCATATAGGTACAGTCATATTTATACTCCTTCTCGTAAATTAAATTTAAATCAAGTCCTTCATATACCACAAATAACACGCCCACTCCTTTATGTTAATCGACTTGCAAAAGATAATAATGTTTTTATGGAATTTCACCCCTCTTGTTTTTTTCTAAAGGATCGGGTATACAAGAAACATCCGCTTTCAGTGCTTGAGTGATTCCGAGCTCTATAATTTACCCCCTACAAATAATCGAGTCCTCAAGCTTTTTCAGTCAAAGTCTCTGCAAACACTTGGCACTCCAGATTGGGTCATCCCCATAACAAAGTACTAAGCCTTCTTTTAAATAAAAATGTGTTACCTATTTCTTCAAAATTGTCAAGTTCATGTCTGTCTTGTCCATTAGGGAAAGCAAGCCACTTATCTTTACATTCATCCAAAAATTCTAGTACTAGTATATTTTATTTAATTTTTAATGATGTTTGGGGATCGTCTCCCACTCGCTTCAATTGATGGATACAAGTACTATATTACATTTATCGATCATTATTCCAAGTATATTTGGTATTTTCCATGAAAAAGAAATCAAAGGTCTTTAAGACTTTTTTACAATTCCAAAAAATGGTTGAACATCAATTTAGTGTTAAAATTAAACAAATTCAAATAGATTGGGGTGGTGAATTTCGAAACTCGAACAATTTTTTTTAAGTTAGTAGGAATAATACATCGTATTATGTGTCCAAACACTCACAAACAAAATAAGATCGTAGAACGACGTCACCATCATATTATGGAAACAAGCCTAACTCTATTGGGTGAGGCACGTGCTCCAAGAAATTTTTGGCATCATACTTTTGAAACTATAGTTAATCTTATTAATAGGATGCCAACCTCCATTATTAAAAATCAATCCCCTTTTGAAATTTTGTTTAAAAAGGTCCCCGATTATTCTTTCCTTCGAGTCTTTGGTTCTTATGCTTCCTTTTCTAACACCTCTATAATAAACACAAAATGGATTTTAGGTTCACCCCATGTGTCTTCTTAGGTTATAGTCCATCTCACTTGGGCTATCGTTGTTATGATCCCCAAATAAAATGTTTTTACATTGTCCGTCATGTCGATTTATTGAAAATATTTTCCCATTTTCCAAAACTAAAAAAACTCCACCCTAGTGCTCAAAAACCGTATCTTCCACTCCTTGGGCCAGTCTCCCAATTCATGCCCAACTTGTCACTAATAAACATTTTTCCGTAGGTAAGCATCACTCAAGTCCTTCTATTGGGCTCATCCGACCACCACTAAATCCATAGCCCAAACACTACATCAAACCAATAAAGCCCAACGGACACACCAAATTCCAAAATCAAAACACCATAACCTCATCCCAACTTCGCCAATACCTCACCAATTATCCATAAATACCACTATCCATCCAACCTACCCAAACCAAAACACCTTCCCCCGATTTAAATTTAATACTTGATTTTACCGATTATGACTTGGACCGACCTAATAGAACCGCACCACCGCCCACTACCGAACCTCAAAGGACACATCCCATGGTTCTCCATAACATGGGCTCCAAGCCCTCATCAACGGCTTTGTTAGATGTGATTGGTAAACGAGTTTTTGAAACTCCCACTTGTTACTCTAAGGCTAAACAATTTAGAGAATGAAAATTGCAATGGAAAATGAGTTTAATGCACTCGTTAAAAACCAACACTTAGTCCTTAATGCCACTCGGATCCATCCATGAATATCATTGGCAACAAATGGGTGTTCAAAACTAAGAAACAAACAGATGACTATCTTGAAAGATATAAGGCTAGGCTAGTAGCTAAAGGGTACCATCGCAAGAAAGAGTGGACTTTGATGAAACATTCAGCCTAGTAGTCAAGCCCACTACCATTCGGATAGTTCTAAGTTTGGTAGTTTCGCAAAGGTGGCCTATCGGACATTTAGACGTCCATAATGCCTTTCTCTATGGTAAGCTTTATGAATCATTGTTTATGGCCCAACAAGGGGGCTTTATTGACTCTCACCACCTAGATTATGTTTGTAAGCCGCACAATTCTCTTTATGGGCTCAAATAGTCACCGAGGGCCTAGTTTTTCTATCTTCATGATTTTTTATTTCTTTTGGTTTTATGGGTTCCAAAACATATTCTTCCTTGTTTATATATCGATCCAGGGCTACGGAGCTTTTCTCTTAGTCTATGTTGATAACATCCCGGTCACTACAAACAACACCAATTTACTCCAATCAATCATCCATGCTCTCAACACTTGGTTTGCCATCCATGATCTAGGAGAAATCAATTTCTTCTTAGGCACCGAAGTGATGCGGACCAAGCAACGACTCATTCTCTCTTAGCAAAAATACATCCATGATCTCCTCTCTAAACAAGGTATGTTAAACTATAAACCTATCTCCACTCCTATGCCAACCACAACTAAACTATAGAAAGATGTAGGTTTAGTCTTTAATAATCCGACTTTGTATAAACAAGTGGTAAGTGCCCTTTAGTATGCCACCTTAACTAGGCCGAAATTGCTTTCTCGCTTAACAAAGTCTCGTCGGCTTATGCACAACCCATAAGTAACTCACCGGATTGCTCGTTAAACGGATTTTATGCTACTTAAAGGATATCACGGATCATGGGCTACACATCAAACAATCGCCATCTCAATTACTCATAGGGTTTTCAAATTCGGACTAGGATGCTTCGTAGATGACAGGAAATCCATTAGTGGTTATGCAAGTATTCCTTGGGTCGAACCTCATCGCTTGGAAGTCCAACAAGCAAAAAGTAGTTGCCCGTAGCTCTACGTAAGCGAGTACAAAGCAAGTAGCTGACTTGGAAGCAAAACTCACATGGATTATCGCTTTATTAGGAGAGTTGGGCTGCTATCGAAAAACTACACCCATCATATGATGTGATAACATTGGAGCTACTTACTCAGCAGTCAATCTAGTTTTCCATGCACGTACAAAACATGTGGAAATAGACTTCCACTTTGTTAGAGATATGGTAGCTAGGGGAGTCTACAAGTTTATCTCCACACAAGATTAGATTGTTGAGATATTAACAAAACCATTATCCACAGACAGGTTTGCATTCTTAAGGGGCAAACTGACAGTTGGTAGCCAACCATTATCAGTTTACGAGGGAGTGTTAAGACAGTCTATATTTGCTAAGGACTCTGCCACTAAGCATGTCTCCATTGGTGCCACGGCTTCCACTGAAAGTGCACCAGTGTCTACTGATTCCCTGCCTTCCATTACAGTAGACTCCTAGCATGATACATCTTCTCCTGTCGTGATCTCCACTAGTTCCACTGCAGCAGACTCCTCTTCACCTACGGGCATGTTCTGCTAGGAAGATTAGACAAGAAGTGTGAATAGATAGGAACTCTTGTATAGTTGTAATCTTATCTCTTGTAAACTTATATAAGCATTATGCAAATATCCAATAATATACTGAATAGAGAAATTCCTTTCTAACTCTGTCAGCCCCTCTCTCTCTCACGTTCTAAGTGCAACATAAATTTTATGCCATGATTCGATTTCAATCGAGTTCAGCTATATAATGTCTTGCATGTGCCAAAAATAAGAAGAATGTGTTATCGATATCTCAACTGACAAGCTCAGATAACTACATATTATTTGGTCTTAAAGATATGAAGGTATATCAAAATTTGAAATAATCTGGTAGTTCGATCATAGAAGGACAACGAGTGGAGTCTATCTACGTGATGTTAGCAGCGGAAGCATACGTAGAAAAGGCACAAAGGAATGAGATGGCAGATCTGTGGCATGCAAGAGTGGGACATGTTAGTTACCACAAGTTGAAGATAATGATACAATGATCAATGTTCAAAGGCCTTCCTCGAGTGGAGAGTCATGACAATACGATATGTGTTGGATTCTAATATGGCAAGGCACATCACTTACCTTATTGTGAGTCTAATTATAGAGCGAAGGACTTTACAGCTGGAGCATTCTGATGTATTTGGGCCAATCAAGCAACCATCAATAGGAGGACGTCGCTACATGATAACTTTATCGATGACTTCTCCAGGTGTGTTTGGGTGGACTTCATGAAAGAAAAGTCAAAAGCCTTAGAGAAGTTCAAGGAATTCATAGAGAAGGTTGAAAGTGAGGTTGATAAAAAGATCAAGTGTGTATACACTGATAATGGGGTGAATACGCATAAATGATTTTTCTGAGTACCTCAAAGATTATAGATTCGACAACAATTGATATGCTCATGAACACCATAACAAAATGGTGTAGCAAAAAGGAAAATTTAGTATCTTATAGAGACGTATCAGAGCATGTTGCATGCCTAGCTGTTTTTAGGTTGAATGCATGAAGACAATAGTATATGTTATAAATCAGCTACCTTAAGCTTGTCTTGGCTCTATTTCACCTTTCAATAAATTATGGAATCTTAAACCAATGGTGAGCCATCTTAAATCTTCAAGTGCGTGTGTTATTTGTTCGTACCTAATCTATTGCACAGAAAGTTCGACAAAAAGGCACTTTGATGCATTTTTGTCTGCTATGACTCTCAAAAGAAAGGATGGAAGTGTTGTGATCCTACAATGGGTCATGAAATGTGGTATTTAATGAAGCATCATCATGGTGGTCATCACAAGAGGTAGCATTGCCAAACTTAAAAGAGTTGGAAGACAAACTACAAGAGAAGATAGACTTAAAAGAGTTGGAAGACAAACTACAAGAGAAGATAGAGTTAGAAGAATAAGAAGATAGTCCATCATCAAGCCCAGAAGTTAGGGAACAATAAATGTCTCTAGAAGCGATTACGAGAACTAACTCTCCCCCAAGTCTGTGGCGAAACAGAGTACATAGTATGCCAGAAGATATTCTACCAAATCAATCTGAGGAAGCAGTGAAGGAGCAATCACAATAGCTTCGAAGATAAAAAGGGCAACGAAGACCAAATCATAAGCACGAAAATACAGCACTTGCTGAAGAAGATAGTTTCGACGAGCCAATGACATTTGAAGAAGCATGTAAGAGTATTGAATGGAGAAAAACAATGGAGGAAGAGATAACAACCTTGAAGCAAAATCGAACTTAGGTGTTGATGTTGAAGCCAAAAATGTGAAGCCCATATCATGTAAATGGCTATATAAAGTAAAGAATCAAACAAATGGGTCAATCGAAGGTGACAAGGCTCGACCAGTAGCTCGTGGATTCTTACAACACTCATCCATCAAAAACAGGTTATAGATTTGATCTTGGATCCGAAGTAATTTCTTGGTGCAACAAAAGGCAATTGACAGTGTCACTTTCTAATACCGAGGTAAAACATAGAGCAGCAGTAGTAGAAGCATAAAAAAGTACTTGGCTATTACAACTATTGGATAATTTGCACTGACCAGGTTATCATCAAGTACCTCTTTGCTATGATAATCAATCAGCAATTCGATTGTGGAGCATTCGATATTTCATGCGAGAACAAAGCATATAGAAATCATGATTATATAAGAGAAAATGGGCTACAAGGAGAAATCAAGATGCAATCAATCAAAATAGAAGATCAAGTTGCAGACATCTTTATCGAGAGCTTGAGTCCATCCAAGTTTGAAGAATTTTGATAACAACTTGGAATGACAACAAAGCCAAATGGAGTTGGTGATGAAGAGGAGAATTGAAGAAGTCATCACCACCTCATTTACTTCTTGATAGTATTGAGTATCAAATGACTATTTCACCTAAAAGCTTAAAAGCTTAAGCTAATAGATGAAGCCCCATAATATAATTTATACTAGTCTCTAACACACTCTCTCAAATGAAAACCTCAACATTTGGGCTTGAAACTTGCACAGGTCCACATTGCTTTGTGCTTAATACTTGAGAAATTGAGGATGGTGAGACTTAAACTCGGGACCATATGGTCAACCAAGCTCGATACTATATCAAAGGACTATCTCATCTAAAAGCTTAAGCTGATAAATGAAACCCCGGAATATAATTTATACTAGTCTCTAACATTGAGCTTTCTAGAAATGTGTAGGAAGAGCTTTCTAGGAATGTGTTGGAAGAAAAAGAATACATGGAGGTGATATTTTAGTTTAGAATTGTCTTAAAATTGTGAGGATCTACGTAGTGAAGCTATAAATAGGGACCTGGCCATTGAAGTTTGTGTGTCTAGCACTTGAGGGAGTCTCTAGGAAACTAAGTATATCTAAGTATTGTGACTTGTGAGTGTTAAGAGAATAAGTGTGTGTCAGTGAGAGTGAGGTGGGCACTTGAGTGAGAATAAAAACAAGAATGAGGTGTATATGTATAAATAATTAAATAAATTTCTCGTTCTCCACCATCTATTTCAATAGGTCTGGCACTAAATATACAAGGATCAAGAGCTGTATCCCTTAGCACTAAATCGTTTAAAAACATGAGACATTTGAAATTACTCCAAATCCATGGAGCAGATTTTGCAGGAAGCTTACAGGCTTCAACCCAGAAAGTTGATATGATTTTGTTGGCTTGAATGCCATATAAAACCTTTGCCATCGAATGTGTGGACAAAAATTACTTGATGCAGAGCGGTGCAAAAATGTAATAGAGATTCAGGGCATCGAATGTGTGGGCAATAACTCGTCTATGTGGAACTTATTTGACTGTAACAATTTATCAAATAACTTTAAGAAGACTCTAATTTAGGTAGTCTTACTTTCTCTGTCTATTGCACTTTCAATTATTTGAACCAAAATTTTAATTAGCTTCTCTTGAAACCAATAGGGATTATGCAAAGGAAAACATTATGACATTTTCCTTTCTGGTGGTGAGATACCAGAATGGTTCAGCCATCGTGGAGAAGGATCTTTTTTTGTCATTTGGTATTACAGTTTCAGATGGTAATCGACTCAAAGCGCTACTTCTCTAGGTTGTCTCCGCCCCCACCAGTTCAGCCAGCTCAAAAACAGAAGATGCTCCATGTGAAATGTGTGTTGCTACGTTCAAAACAAGAGCAACGATATTGAATTGTTTGGTACGATGGCCGTAGTTTCGTTTGACAGAAATTCCACTAAGCATTCTTGGATACAGCGTATACCGTTGATTGGGATAGAGGAATTGCAAGTTGTAGAGGAATTGGAAACTGAACTTCAAAATAATGCTTCATAAAGTTGCGAAGTGTGGAGTCCATGTGATAATGGAAAAGAATAATAAAGATTCAGATATTGATGAGAAGTGGGATCAAGACATTGATGGGCAAGCTGAAACAGATATAGTCATATCCCCATTTCTTCATCCTCTAGGATCTTCAACTACAGATGATCAGCGTTTGGAAAGTCGTTTAACAAGAGATTTGCAAACCGGCATGAAATTTGGGTAGGGTAAAACATATACAATATGTTATGTTTATCTTCTTCTATTCCATGTTACTGGATTACAAAGGGCAGGATTGTGGTATTGTTTTTGGGCACTTTGGACTAATAAACGAGTGAACTTTGCAAGGCTTCTTCAATCAAGTCAATGAAACTGTATATGCAGACCATTTATTTATTTTATTTATCACCTGTTATACCAAAATTTGATACATCCTTCTTGACTGATTTCATTTAGAAAAATAGAACCCAACAAGTTCTTTAATGGATTGTTCTTCTTAACATCTTTCTTGACTGACTTCATTTAAGCCCATTGATTATTTTGTACTAAAAGCCATTTCTATCCGGTAAAGTCCAGCGTCCGTACACGATCCAATAACCCTATTCCAGATAAAAAGAAAAAAAAAACCAAGAAAATAAAACTAGAGGACATGCAACAACACTTCAATGAGAAACACACAACAAAACCATATCATGAAAAAAAAAAAAAAAACAAAAATGTGAGAAAACATTCCTTTTTTTTTTGATAAAAGTCGATCAATATATAAAAGAGAAAAGAACCAACAAGAAAGTGGTTATAATAACAGTTTATGATACAAATAAGAAGACAAACTAAACAAGTAACCTTCCTAAAAACAGCAAAACTAGACCCTAACAATATAAGATGAACTATCTATTCAGCGAGCCCAAACAACGGGTTCTTGAAGTATTTATCCATTTTTTGATTTTATTTGAGCTAATAAGAAGATCATTTTTAGAATAGATAAAATGATCATCAATATATCTATCTCAATGTGTCACTCTATGAAAAACCAAATAAAGAACGTTGTCTTAATCATGAGTGGTACTATTAAAAATAAGATCATTTCGCACTAACCAAATCGACCATAGGCTTGAATAAAGAACAAGAAACCACACTTTCTTCCGCATATGCCCACGAACATAAAAGCTTCACCGTTGAAAAAGATCGTTCACGCATTTAGGGATAATCCATGAATAGCCCCACTAGCGAAAGATTTTAGACCACAATTGCTAAATCCGATGGCAATATAGAAGGAGATGAGACACCGATTCCTAATATTCATTACGTAAAGGACATAAGTCGGCTGAATACTCCACTAGACCAATACGGAAAAGAAAATCCCTTGTCTATAATTTACAGGTGAGCTACTAACCGGACAAAAGCTTTTACTTTTGGGAGAGCTAAGCCTTTATAAACATAAGAAATTATATATGAGTCTCCACGTAGCAAAATCGAATCTATAGTTGAAGAACAAGACTTAACAAGTATATAAGCCTTTTATGTCATAAGCCTAGATCCTCTTATCTTCAACACCTAGATTTAGGTGAACATTTGAAATTAAATATTACAACCTTTTTACTTCTTGAACCTCCCAATCACGAAGCTCCCTCCTCCAATTGAATTTCCAAAACCAACCCGAACTACACCAATCTCCTATATCTAAAACTTTGCAATCTTTTTCGTAGCTAACTTGTATAGACTCGAAAAAGTTGAGCAAAGGTTTGAGCTACCCGCCCACACATCTTTCCAAAACATGATAGATCTTTTATTTCCAGCGTTGAAACGAATCCCTTTTTTGGTAGCATGACTACAAGGAGTTGAACTTGAGTAAATTGATAAATATCTTTCCAATAAGGAGATAAGATACCTGTAAAATAAAGAAGACCGTTCCTATACGTTGGATTGTATTTTTAAAGGATGAATTTCTACCAATAGGAGAAAACATTCATATTTAGTAGTAAAATCAATATGTGAGCGAGTTAGTAAAAGAATAATAAAAATTTCTAACATCAATAAAAGCAATATTTAGGCAATTAAGAAGAATGTGAAAGATTGTAACACAAGAATAACAAACCAAAACAAAAAAACATGATGCATTGCAATACAAGAAGAAAAGATTGAGGAATAGTATATAGCAATACAAAATGCATGATAGAATGTAAAAGAAATTGATCAACTATAGAAGATGAAGGAAGACCAATAAGTCTATCAATACGAGGGAAATAAAATGAGAAAACAACACAACAATGTAACATAAACACAAACTTTTGTAAATTCATGCAAGTCCTCTATCATGGATCCTTTTGATCGCTCGAGATTTGAATCGTGATCTTCTTGCATGATCCTTAATGAACCATGAAAATAAGGTGTATTTCAATATACATCTATGATCTAGTTGATCCAAGATTGCAATTGATGAAGATCAACCTTCCATCGTAGAAGCGAATTTAGTTCTCTTCTAGTATCCGACAATTGATTAACCATCCCATCTTCCCATTGATGAACATATTAGGGTAGCATCAACTACCACCGGTGCGTGTCGCAAGACACCAAAAATAAACTCTATTCCCGGCAATCAACAATAATATAGATAGGAGAATAGGGATCGAACCCATAAAGACTCGTTGTGATTAATAAATACTGAATAACAAAAGTAAAGGGGATTGTTTGCTGAAAATTCAAAATTAAACAAAAACAAATCAAAATAAAATTATAAATCGGTAATTAAAAACTCCAGCCTCAAGGGTAATTCTTTCGTCCAAATGGGTGATTGATCATTCGACAACAAAAGATAATACTATCAAACATTAATTAAGCAATCAAGTTATACTCACAAGCGGAAATATAACATATTTCTTCCCTAAGTAATTAATTCGAGTGAAGCACTCGGATTAATCCTTGTTATCTAATGATTCGGTATACAAGCGATCCTATATTAAATAACAACATTAGGTTCTAGGAAGAGATTACTATGAACAACGATTTAACACAAGCGACAACCATTTAATCCATACTATGTTCTTAAGGATTAATAACGAAAGCTGGGATCACAATCATTAAAAATACCTATGCTACTATGAACAATATGATAACAATTATGGATTACCATATTAATTCTAGCAATAGATTCCAATTAATATTTATTCAATAGGCCCTTATCAAACAAATACCAATTGCAATTATAAATCAATAACACAAATAAGAACAACGGATAGGCCACTCATAGCTTTTAAGAGCATGAATTTATTTCACTAAAAAGAGTCGATCTCGTCGTAAAAAAAACTCTTTTATGGTTCTTCAAAAAAAAATTAACTTTTCCCTCGCCAAAAGAGAGCCAGTAGAGAACGTGTTCTCTCCTTTTTAATCTGAAAATATTCTCTCAAAAATCGGATGCGGATAGAGTTCTAATATAATCATAACTCTTTCTAAGTTATCTCCCGAAAATCGAATCCCGATTTCCTGTTCGTCTTTCGTCGCCAATTTTGGACTAGATACATTCTAAATTAGAGATTTCTTTCTTCAGAAGAGTTTTATTCCTCTCTGTTATATTTCCAATTCCATTAGTTTTGCATCAATTGAAGGTCTAAAACTCGATTTGTGTGCCAAACACCGAAACCGTGCAAACTAGTCCGACCGAATTAGGAAACGACTTGCCAACTACTTTCCAACTTTAAACCCACCTACTTTGGACTTAGGCCCCGCATCAAAGTTGTGAATATGGGTCTTAACTCTTTATTAGGATTGGATTTGCATCAATTTTCCATCTATAACTCCAATTATGAATTAATGACCGAAACCGGTTCCGAGCCCAACGGGATTCTACATCGGCTTCTCTCGATCAGATTTTGAGATATTATTTGGAGATCCAAAAGAAATTGGATTTTGACCCAACACATCATTATGGAAAGCTTGAGATGTCCTCTATAAAAGTTATGAAGGCCACTTCGTTCAATTCAAACTCTTAATCTACCAAAAACCTGCAAGAAAGACAAAAGGTCTAAGTGAAAACGTACTCGAAATTCTTAACTTTTAACATAATTACTCCTAATCCCGAATTTATGTCTTATAAATAAATATGAACATTAATTAACCTATTAAGACATAAAACATAGCAAGTCAACTAAATTTAAGGAGAATAAAATTATAATATAATGTGTCTATCAAATTCCCCCACACTTAGCTTTTGCACGTCCTCGGCAAATTAAAATTAAAACTAAGAACTAATAATTATAAAGAAAACTAAACCTAACTCATTTTCGTAGGAATCACAAATGCATTTAGCGTATGCACTAAGCCTTTAAATCCCTAGGTTGTCCCTAGTGGACGAGTTGTGTCTCGTGAGGGTTTACAAGTGATATACCCACAAAATCATATTTTTGAAAACATAGATAAGCATTACTCAATATACAAACAACTATGCATAGGTTTATTCATTTAAATTCATAAGCAAAGCATACCCACCTAATTTAAATATGCAGCAATATCAAATAAAACAAAGATAAACATACTCATTTCTGTTATTTTTATCCAAAGGTACTATTGTCTAACCATACAAACCTAGCAACTAACACAATTAATTCATACATAACTCTCCTTTAGACTATTTCTCTTTCCTTAAATAAACCGAGGTAGCAAAATAGGGTGTTCTTTTTTTCTTTTTCTTTTTTTTCTTTCTTGTGTTGTTTCTTTTCTTCTTAATTTTTTTTCCCCAAAGCAATTCCTTTTCTTCAAGTTGTTTACTTATCTTTTTACGCGAATACAAACATTTGTAATGAATGGACCCGATTACTCAATAAGTAACATACTCGAAATGCTTTGCATACTCATATTCTAATTAGAATAGTGGAGTAGGTCATCGAATTTCAACACATTTCAGCACTTTCATTCATAATTATTTAGAACAACCCTATTTACTTAAACCCAAATTCAGACTTAGTTTAAGAGAATTAATCTAAAAGTTCATCATACAAGTCATCAATCATGCTTCGCTACTAAACATTTGCATAATTTCACAATAAGTACCATGTCAATTAATTATTAAGACTCAAGCATGTTTAACTCTATTTTACAACTAATTGCTACATCTTAAACTAGGTGATATGCACATCATTTAAGTTCAATTAGGTACCTATGCATAGTTCAAGTATCTCAAATACACGCTTATACATGTTTTTTTAAATAAATTAATTAATTAAAATTTCCTAT